GTGTGTGTATATATATATATACACACACTTGTCAACATTTGAAATGGATCAAAACCTTTTATCAAAGTTGTCCTAAAACCAAAATGCATTCTTGTCTTAGGACAACTTTGATGAAATTTTTTGATCCACTTCAAATGTTGACTACTGTATATATACATATATATAGATATATATATACATATATGTGTGTGTGTGTGTGTGTGTGTGATTTTATATAGCTATTTATATACATATTAATTAATTAAAGGCAAGGTAGGCGATTTCGGAGAAGCTAGCAATAGCAAACTAGCTTTGAAAGTAAGATCCAACCCTCCATGCATAATCACGCTCCAAAGCCACGCCTCCTCCAAAACACATGAACATGCTCCGTCAGAGCAGAGATTAACCAGCGTCACGATGAGAGACGGCGTCAACGCTGTCAGATTACCTCACGTCTCATTCACCGCTGAGAAAACATTACAGTACAAAGTGCATAATATTACAATAATAGCGCCTTTCACTGCAAACAGGGTGCAGTGGTATGCAAATACATATTTGACAGGAAGACAGGACAGCCTATCGTAATGTTCGGACCGAATATTTTGATTGGACAAACATTTTATGGCCCTACGCCTTCCACAAACGATATAAATACCTATAAATAAATTTAGACCACTTAACTCAGTGATTGCTATCGGGATGTGAAGAGACTTTCAACCAGCATAACAAAAAAATTTTTTGAACCAAAACACATACCCTGCCTTTAATTTTAAAGAAATAAATAAATAACTAATATATAAAATCCAAAATAAACATCGAGAAAAAAATTAAATATTAAACAGGTAGCCTTTGATTATATTGATTAACGAGTAGCTGGTTTCTGAAGGTGTGCAGCTGAAAATGAATGTCTTTTTCACCTGATATTTGTGAGGTCCGACGGCAGCCATCCAGATGCCCATGCTCACATCCTCTCCCTGTAGAAACACACATTTACCTGAAAAACCTCGTAAAGCTACTGTGTCCATCATCAGAATGAATTCAGCAGAGACAAACGGATTAGAGACTCGGCGTCCAGAACAAATGTGTGAGATTCAGAGCGAACGAAATCTTTACTGACGTATCTGCAAGCACTGATCTCATCTCTGCTAAACTCGGTATCAAATCATTACTCCGCTTGGAAAAGAAATCATCACTTATCAACGGGCTTCTGATGGTGTCACGCATGTCTTTGCTATTATGGATCTCAGTGCAGAGGAGTTGTTTAATATAATACAGCTGCATGCTGGGTAACTCCAACAAACAGTGCTTTTGTATTCTGAAGAAGGTCATCAAACAAACACATGATATTTTGATCTGTAGGTAACATGAGGAGAGGACGGTACCTGGTAAGCTTTGAGATGTTGAGCGTTGCAGGCTAGCCACTGCACCAGATCCCTGGACACCACGTATCCAGATCCACAGGCGAAGGCCGGATACGCTGGACTCGCGTACTCCAGCTCCTGCCATTTCCCCACACGATCCACGGCCCAGTTCTGCCTGAAACTGATCAACAACGGCCAAATAATGAGATCAAAGCTCTTCTCTGATGCGATACGCTGATAAACAAAGGTAATTATCCTTTTACCAGAAAAAGGTTGTCACAAAAAAATTCATACAAATTTAAAATACGTTATAGAAAAAAAACTATAAAAATGAACATAAAATATATATATAACAATTTATATTTTTAGATAAGAATAGCAAGTATACTTCCTTTCAACATATACATAAAAAATTTATATATTTTACAACAAGCATACTTCTTTACAACAAATTATTCTTTTACCAGGAAATGTTTGTCACTTACATTTTTTTTATATTTAAAAATGTATATAAATATATATATAATATATAAAACCGTAAAATAAAATATATTTTAAAAAAGTTAGAATTTTAGATAATTGGCATATTATTTAAATGATTCTTTTACCAGAAAACGGTTGTCACTTGTACTTTCAGATATATAAAAATTATATAAATATATATTTATATAAATTATATATTTTTAGATAAGAATAACAAGCATACTTCTTTTCAATTATACTAATTCTTTTACCAAAAAAATGGTTGTCACTTAGGTTTTTACATTTTAAAATATACATAAAAATATAGAATATATAAAAATGTAATATAAAAAAGATAGATAATAAAAAAGCTATACAAATATATAAAATATATAAAACTGTAATATAAAATATATATTAAAAAATCATAACTTTAGACAATAGCCATACTTTCTTTCTACAAATTATCCTTTTACCAGAAAATTGTTGTCACTTATATTTTAGATATGCATAAAAAGTACATAAATATATAAAAATATAAAACTGTAATATAAAAAATATTTTTTTAAAAATCATTATTTCAGATAACAAGCATACTTCCGTTCTACAAATTATACAAAATTATCTACAATTTTCTACAATCAAGCATTAATTTTATTATTTTACCAGAAAATGATTGAGACAATATAATATTATA